CTTTATGCACTTAAGGAAGACCTTGATATGATTATGAGCAGCAATAATTTGTGCTCGAAAAGACATCAGTAAATATTATTGTATAACACTGTGTGATTTTATCAAAATAGGGATTTTATTCATAATGGAGTTACGCTCTAATACACTGCTCAAGTTTTATCCTTATATCTTCGGGACATGTTAAGCAATTCTCATATCTCTATTTCCCCTCTACATAATAGCTACAAAGAAATTTCTAATAAATGTCGCGATCAGTAGGGTGCAGCAGGTCGGGTGTGACGACAAATGCTCGCCGAAGACATTGGCTGGAATCGCGCTATGTCGTGCATTGGCAGAAGTCAGAATCCATAGGCTGGCCATTGGATGTGGTCCCAGTAGCTTAATGGTATACAAGCTCGCCTTGTAACCATAAGGTCCTGGGTTTGAACCCTGGCGGTGGGTGCGTACTGCTGAAGAGTCCCAAACTAGGACGAAACAACTGTCCAGTACTCCCAGGTTTTCCAATGGTTCTCTCATTAATGTCAGCTATTGATGAAATCCTGTAAACCAATCAAATCCTTACAAACCAACACTTGAAATGTGAAAAATATTATATTAGTCAAAGTGGAGACATTCTTTGCATCTACGTATATAAACAAGGTGTTAGCACTTTAATCCACCAATTAAATACTAATTAAATGCCGAGACATCGTCGAAGCATCTGCACAAGAATCTGACATGTCAACCTGAGACCGAGAACTTCGGTCCAATCAGTCACCGGGAAAATCTAAAATTCAGCTAAATTAATATGACCCGTTGCACAAGAGGTGTCTCCCGTGGCCCAAGTGCTCTAGAGGATAACGTTTTGGCGTTTGAACCTATGGGCATTGGGTTCGAGCCTCGGTGAGAACATCATCACCCTCTGAGAAACGCAGGTACATCCAGATGACGATTCCCAAATAGGACGAAATGCGCATCCTGGATTCCACTGCTCGTCACCATCCACCAATTAAATATCAAGGTGTTAACAGTAACGATATCCCTCCCCACATGCCAATACATGCCATTCATTAAGAACTCCATTTCTTGTGATAACATGTGAATATCTTGAAGGAAGGAAACTCCAGCGACACCAGAGACCTCTTTGGGCTCAGATTAGTCTGCAATTAACAGATACACTGATACTGGTCAAACATATCGAGCAATATTTAAATGAAATTACATGGACAAAAAGTCGAATAGATATACCACTATGAGGGAACAGAAAGATAAGCAAATCTCCAGAGACAATTAGTCACATATACAAAAACAAAACATGTGATTCAGCGAAGAGACTCTTTTCAACGAATTTATCATCCAGCTGTACAGTCGTATATATGTGTTTTTATCAATTCACCTGCTCGTGTGGAGCTAGGTATATCGGTCGTTCGACTCGAGTTTTGTCCAAGAGGGTGGAAGAACACTATCCCGCATGGTTACGAGGAGTTGGAAGTGGAGCAATAAGAAGCGCGATCATTGAACACCTGGTCGATAATGATCACCCTATCTCTATAGCCACCCCCTTTAAAGTCATCTACAAGGCACAGAGTAACTTACCAAAATCCCTACGTACCCGACTCATCTGTATTGCTGAAGCCATCTTTGGCTATAAAAACAGAAAAGCCAGATCTCTGTGTACGGAAAAAGTTCGTTCAACCTCTCCAACTTTCATGGTCTTAATCCCTCTATGTTAAAGTATGGTAATCCCCAATCATATTTTAGCTCTGCCAGTTTTTCATTTTTTCATTTTGTCTATTCAATTTGTAGTCTCTTCCTTATTACGTAAATTGTTACTGTTACTACTCTCACTCTGAACTGCCCCCAGTATTATTTCACTCGTTCCACTTGTCATTCTAAATCAATTATTTTTTGCGACGTTAAATTCTATGCTATCAAATTTCATACAATATTGCGTAACGTTTTTATTTTAATCGATTTGTCTTCTTTTTTTGTCTACTAATCCTATAATTGCATACCCTTTTCCAAGTTCTATCCATCCTATGAATTATTCTATGTATGACATTAATTTGCTTTGCCACTTGACACTTGACTATGATTATAATCACAAACATTTTAGTTTTAATTGAACTTCATATTATTATTATTGTTATTTTATGCATTCACGCCTAAGATTCAATTCCCTCACCGGATATAGCTTCTTAAAAAACCCATATATATATGATATATACACGAGTGTACAGCTTGATGATAAATTCGTTGAAAAGAGTCTCTTCGCTGAATCACTTATTTTGATTTCCTATATGTTACAATGGGAATTTTCCACGAGTTAAAAATTAACAATTAGTCACGTTTAAGGTAGATAGGAGAGACAGTTATTTCACTCATGGGGAATTGTAAAAGATAGATTAATGAAGAAGGGAATATTCCTTTAGATAACTTCTTCTTCATCAAGTTCTACAATTATATATTTATAAAAATTAAAGAACTGTTATTAACAGCATTAATATTTTAAATTTTATTCAATCAATAGTATCGACAGATTACACTTCAAAAACATTCGTAATTGATAAAATATGCACCAATATAACATTAAACTGAATATCAGATAATAGCTCAATTTCAAAGAGATGATATTATTCCACAAATAGTCAGCAGAATATTGAGTACGCCAGTAGCCAAAGCCTATCCTGCAGTTACGTTGGTTCCCTTTTTATCGAACAACATGCTCATTGGTGCAATCAAAAGTCGACAGATCCTCTTCACGTCTTAATTCGAACTGTGTATACAAATTTAAGTGTATCTTTATTAACGGTTACATCGGGAGAACAGAATGAAGGGGAAATCTCCGATTTGACCGATCGAAGGATTTCATTATGAGCTGACATCAGTTAGAGAACCATTGAAAAATTTGAAAATTTATCTGATGCTCACTGGTGACTAACCCTATTCACGTAGGTGGTTACCTGGAGTTCTCGTGGAAAGTCATGACCAGTAGGGTAAAGCAGGCTGAAGAAGACACTGAGAAGTGGTCACGCTATGTCATAAATAGACAGAGGTTAGGATTCATGAACTGGCTATTGGATCGGCCCCCGATGGATTAATGGTCTAGGTGCTAGCTCGCATTGTAACCATAAGGTCCTGGGTTCGAGCCCCGGTGGATGTGTGCTGGTGAAGAGTCCCAAACCAGGAAAAAATAAATGCCCAGTACTTCGAGGTTTTCCAATGGTTCTCTAAATGATACCAGCTCATGAGGATTTCCTCCAACTAGTCAAACAAAATCCCTACAGAAACCAACATTCGAAAAATCTTCGATATTTTGAACATGTACCAAAAAGCCTAAGTCTCACTCAAGGGAACAAAAGCTTACAATAGTGTCATTGCCAGGCATCTGCTTGCTATAAGTCACGGCGTGGAAATCACAAAATCCTTTAAAATTATCAGTAAATAAAAAGCTTAGCTGTCCTCAAGTTTGCCGAAACAATCTCTATCAAATACCTGAAACCCAATTTTTGTGTTCAAAAAGAAGCAGTTATCATCAGTGATTCCTTGCTCTGGTAACTGGATGTTTTTAATAAATTTCTATTTTATTTTATCGTAGCTTGATTCCACACAGTATTTTGGTACAAGTATAGAATTTTCAACATGTGATACTGGTAGCCCAAATTTCGCAGGCCAATCATTGAAATCAGGTGTACGTCGACCGGGAATTGAACCCCGGACTATGTGCATGGTTGGTGAGAGTCCCAGCCCCTGTGCTACCGACACACTTTGACCTATATATTCGACTTCATAATCATTTCATTTAAAGAACCACTGAAAACCATCAGGGAGAATTGAACAACTATTTCGTCCTTGTTGGGAACTCTTCAACAGTACGCACTCATAAAGCCACCAGAAATCGGACGCAGGTCCTTCAGTTTACAAGGCGGACGTGTATACCATTCGGTTACTAGGACAGAATCTAATGGCCAATCAATAATTTCCCTCCCTCGCCTACCCTCCTGAACTCTCCATCATAATATCTATAAATCTACTCTATTTTCTATGTTGTATTTTGCCTCTAGTCAATCTTTGTTTCCAAGCGAAATCTGAACTCAACCCCCCTTTGTCTAATTATTCTATAAGAATTTACTCTTTTTAACCCTGAATAATTCGTCTGTTTCAGTCATATTTTTGGAATTATTGTGCCTATTCTACCTGTCTCTAGCTCGAAGTCATATCAAAAAGTATGTTCAGAAATTTTATAACTTATAATTTGACTTAAGATGTATGCAGTTGAAGAGAATCCATGAAAATAAAATGAGCTCGTGTTTTTCTGTAGATATGTTCATTCGCTATATCAAAATTCTAAGTTTGTTCAATTGGCTTCACAAAGACAGGAGCCTTTAATCTCTCGAAAAATGGCTTTCTAACTAGCAGCATCCAATATTGCTGAAATCAAGTTCGGAATTATTCAGATATCTATAAATCTAATACATGTATATTAATTAGCACATAGAAAATACGTTTAGTAGAACAGAAGAGAGAAATAAGTTCATTTTTTGTGCTATTTTGTTTGTGTGTATGTATGTGTGTGTGTGTGTGCGTCTATGCGTCTATTTCCAGTTTTAAATACATCACAATACACAAACGCCTGTCCTTATAGAAATACAAATTTAAGGTCGATAAGCATACAAATATACATACGTACAGGTATAAAGAAACATACATACAATCCTATTAACCTATGTGTATCAATTCTATATGAATGTACAGCCACACACGTATACACGTACGTGTTTGTATACGTACAAACATACGTACGCACATACAGAACAACAGTAGCCTCATTAAAAGAATCCAGCAATGTTACGTTCAAATAAAACCTTAATTTATGATTTATTACTGTTTTGGTAAATGTAATCAGGTGAATGGGTGAACACACACACCCACAGATGCCTATATTTTTTATAGGTGTGTAGAAGTCGACCGGAAAACTGAACTATGTATGATGTAACCACATTGGGTGTAAATACACTTACGCTATCCTCCTTTTTCTTTTTCCCGGTCATCTGAATGTCATGGATCCAGATATTTGATAATGATTAGTATTCACATCAATGATTGGTACACCTACAACCTACTGGAAAATATTGCCACCTGAGAAATTCCACTTCACGTCACCTAGTACTACAGTTAGCGACGCTATCACCGAGATAATTGGAGTTAGTACTGATCGCCTGCAAAAAATTCAATGTAATTAAATTTAGTTAATCACTTTGGTGTATCCAAAGGAATGTGTCAGTTGGATACTAACTCAGAGAAGCATTGTAAAACCAAGTAGTACCAGACAGCTATTTCATTCTTGCTTGGAACTCTTGAGAAGTTACTCAACGATGATATTTGCTAAGAGTCACTTGGTATCGCAAATCAGTAGAAGTTAGAATTGACGAGCCGCTGAATTCCACCCAGGTGACTAAATGGTATACGAGTTCTACTGAGGCTGGTGTCCCCCAAGGCGCTGTCCTTTCTCCTTTTCTGATTTATTTCTTCTTGCATGACTTGTTCCACTCTGATGAAATGAACTTTGTTAAGTGTACCGATGATCTAACTATTTCAATGTCTGTTAACTCCCAGCTTGATTGTACTAAGATGAATAGCTTTCTATCAGGAGTTAGCAAATGGTCTTCGTGTAACGGCCTTAAACTAAATCCTTCCAAATGCCAGACTGTTAATTTCAGTTTCGGATGTAAAAGAAAGTTAAATGAAGCTGTTAGTTCCTATGATCCTTGCAAAACTGATGACACTGATATAGAAATCAAGTCTGAAGTTAAGTATCTTGGATTAATTGTTTCTTCTGACCTATCCTGGTCTTCCCATGTCTTAGCGATTTCTAAAAGAATATTTCGTCTAACTTTTTACATCAAGAAGTTGAGGCACTCAGGCATAATCCAACCACTCCTGTTACAGTTTGTCAACTCGTGCATCCTACCTATTCTTCTTTACTGTTCACCCTTATTCTTTCCTGAATTGCTTAAAAAAGACTATGTCATACTTCGTAGAACTCTGAAGACTGACTGTCAGTAGGATGAGTGGTATCCCATTGGGCCATGTCGTTGACATTGTCACTGGATGGCACTTGATTTCATGCAACAAATTTGCTAAAGGAATTTTGTCAGACTCTGAGAACCCAATCTACCCGCAGCTCCAACCTTGTGTCTCCTCAGGTAAAACAAGAAGTCTTTTCAGAAGAATTTATGCACGTACGTCTAAGTATAAAAATTCCACTAGACCATATTTAGCATGTACTTTATGTGATGAAAACAGTGTCAGGCATAAACTAACTAACTAACTAACCTTCTTTGCACTACTAAATAAACCATTTCATCCACCCTTACAGTACCAAAATTTATTGTTATTGTGTTTCTTGTATTTATAATCCTCTCAATTTTTTGTTTGTGTTTATTTTTCTCATGAGTGTGAACATCATTTAAGCTGTGTTACCACTGTTAATCTTGTATTTCCCCTCACCATGCTGCTATATCAACAGAACATTAGATTCAATGCCTCTATAATAACATGCTAAAATTTCCAAACTGAATCGACAATACTGTCTGAAACAAACTCACTGTTATTATTATTATTATTATATTTAATGATCTCAATTTGTGCTTCGAATATTTTTGACTTTATATCGTGAATGAGCACAAATTCCTCTGGTTACTTTTGTTTTACTTTTATTTATATTCTGAGTAAATCAGATGCAATATTGTGACAAATGCTGAGAATTCCATTCTGTATTATAAGTAGTGTTTTTGGAATAATGTAGATTATTATTATTACTTGTAACCTGAAGGCCCTAGATTTGATCCCATGCAGCAAGGTTGAGAATGCTCATTTCCGAAAAGTCGCAAACAAGGACGAAATAGCCGTCCAATACTCCTTGCTGGTTTTCGATAGTTCTTCGACTGAACTAAATGTATGATTATAAGTGAAGTCAGTCGATTCCCTTCAAAACTAGCGAACACTTGAAAACATCTGAGTTAATCTCGTGTTGATGGACAGTTATTGCTGCTATGAATAGAAAATGAAGAGGAAATTAAAACTGAAGTTGTAACAGCATTTGAACCGGTGATCTCCTGACCTGATGTCCCAGTAACTGCGTTACAAGACCAAACTGTGTAAATACATTTTGATTTAATTTGTCTAATGAGACGAAAGATTCACTTCTAAACGTTATTAAAGCTTGATACATTGAAGTGGGGTTGCTCAATGTGATCACCAACTGGTGAAGTTACAACAAGACATTCCTCTTCCTCCTTTAGTCCACCCTGACTGACCCTACCCCTAATTTATTGTCACTCTTCAGAATGGAGCTGGCAATAAAAATCACGAAATCATTAGAAAAATGACTACAGATGATGGGGTTCTGAGATCCGTTTGTGTTTTTGATCCTACAGTTTAATGTCCCCTCAAATCCTACTCCCCTGGTTATCGAGTTAAGCTCCCCCCCCCACACACACACGTATCGTTCGATAACTCCAATTAATCGATTATTCAGGCATAAATAAAACACCTGATCTTTCTGCAACTAGTTCAGCGAATTTAGAACGGAAGACACAAATCAATTTAGTTATACCACCTGTAAATCTAATCAGTTGTCGAAATTCATTTACTAGAGAGGTTTAACGTCGCTTATCAAGCGTTTAGACAGAGAATAAGTTATATCACGTAACTGAGGTAAGACAGGAATGCTACGGAGTGATGACAAAGACAGTAGAAGACCTAGATTTCACAAACGACTTATGTCTAACGCCACACAATATTTAAAAACTACAGGTGAAAACCAAAAGGTGGACAGGAGATTTGTTGTTGTTACCTATTGGCTTGTTACTTTCATTACCTTAGTCCTCTCTATGTTCACCAATTACTATCAACGAAGGAAATCTGAAAGAGGTCACTCCTTCTACTTGTCTAGGCAGTGTCGACTCAAATACCAGTGGCATTGATGAGGATAAATCACTCAGAATCAGTGAGGCAAGATAGGACTTCATCACTGTGAAATCAGTTTAGAAATCTGCCACACTCGACATGAGGAACAAGTTTCGGATGTTCAACACCAATTTTAATTCAGTCAGTTCTTCTCCGTGGGTGAGAAATATGGCGAGCGAGTCAGGGAAAACATTTCCAAGAGGTCACTGTACACTTTTATATCAACAGCTGCCCACTTCGATGGCTGCATACTGAAGATCATGTGACTGACGAGGAAGACATAGCTGGGAGAATCTGTGCGAGCGACGGAACCAATGAATAACACAATGCTCAGCAAGTCTGGTGAATAAGACGGAGATGGATCGGGCAGATCTTGTGGAGACGGTTGAGGGTGATATCATGAGCTAGGTACTGCCTCGAGTGTATCGTAGAACTGTCTTTTGCCTTCCCCACCAATCTCCTTCACTTCTTCACTCAGTGTTATGTACACTGAAATCAGACTTTGCTTCTATTGGCCACCTATGCATTGGTTTATATTCTCTTTCACCAGCTCCCCCTCTTCCATCAGCTTCCATATGTTCGCAGACACCCGTTCCTTGTCATGTCTATTCAGTCTTGCTAAAACGATTATTCACGTTCCCTGAAACATCACTTCCAGAGAGTTCCAGTATTCATCCACGTGGATTCATTCTAACTTTCTCTGATGAAATCAATGAATGTGTCTTTTGAGGTTTCGCGCTTCCTTTTCTGGCCGTTGAACGTGAACTGTGTATGGTCTATCTTCACTTGCTTTGAAGGCTTTCAACACGACCTTCATGGTTACCTGGTTATATGTATATTAATACGCAGTCCTTTTTCTTTCTATGTTACTGATCATTTTGTGTTTTCTGTTGTTAACTCAACCAACAGAGCTTTTCGGATCTACCTGCAAACAGATGACAAATAACTACGTGGTTTTCGTGTTATTTGCTACTGATTATGCCATCACACATTTCACACATTGCTGTTTCGTTGTGCTAGCCAGTATCCTGCTGGAGAACGTCTACTAATAGAATGAGAGGTGTATGTTGTTACTTCAGTAGCACTATGTGCATTTGAGGCTGTCTTGATTTGAATATAAGGTTGAATATAAGATGCTCAAATTTGTTCTTCTTGTATAAGCGAAGTTGATTAATCAAGGAATAAGTTGAATGATGTATGAATGAGTTATTCAGGGTTTTAGGGGCCACGACTTTCCTTGCTGTTAAAAATACGCTTATCTGATAATTGATGGACAGCACGAATCCATTCGATTTATGACTTTCTGCTGACGATACTAGTGATGTGAAATAAACTAGGTGAAACTATGATCCCTCGTACTCTTGGAGTTATCAGAGACACGATTAAATAACTCGCATACGCATCCTCACTGTTTGAAACTTATATTTCTTTGACAAGTACACTAATATGTCACTGAATTATTCAATTCACATTTTATCTTACGTTCTAAATGATTGTAGGTTTTATATGCATTCACTTGTCAATATTAACCAACGGACTATTATTCCGTGTTGTACTCTTATTCCTGAGTATGGTTTCTGATGTAATTTCCATTTACCTTTACCGGCACTGTTTGTATTCTAATGTTTATCGATTTATAAAACTGTAAAGTCTAAAGAAGTTATTGAGACCATAATTGTATACTCGAAATATTTTTATTGTTCTGAATATACTATAGGATAATTTAGTCTAAATATGACCCCAGTGAAATTGTGATTTTGGGGAGACCATTGGAGAATATAAGCGAAAAGCAGGCTTCCTAATTACTCAGTGTTTAAATGCTACCCTTAAACAGCTTCATTTAAATTGCGGGATTTCGATTAATTCCATTTGTTAGATCTTGTCACGAACCGACAACAATTAGAGATAATTGAATACCAGTAGGGAGTTGTACTGAACATCTGTTTCTTCCTATTTTAGGACTTGTCAGAGGTGCACATCCACGATCCCATTAGGGATTGAACGTCAGGACCTTCAGGTTACGAAGTCCAGCTTGTTGGCTGTTCAGCCACTTGGACTGAAATTCAGTGACTCGAGAATT